TAATCACCACCTGGGATGCTAACTGGTTGAAATGCCGATACTTGATGCTGTTGTCTTCATCTGTGACCTGCAGAGGAAGCCAAGCAGGTTGCAGATTTCAGGCAGGATTTCTGTTACAATCTAAAGGCCAAGTTCCCAGGAAACTTAGCTGTGTCCTTGGGGCATCAACTGATGGGGTGAGGGCCACCTACCAGAGGGCCTTCTGCTGTCCTCAGAGCTCACAGATCCTAATAGCAGTCACATCTGAAACTTACTTGACATTATGACCCCATAGACACACAAACTACCCAGGGAGGGGCTGTTCACAAGGAATGTAGAACTTGACTCAATTGGTTTCCACTCTGATTTCTATCTCCTCTACTCACCAATTAAGGAATGAACTCATGACCACAAGATCAGCCAACAGCTCTTAGCCATTCTCTCATGATTAGCCATCTGTGTGTTAGGATATTTCCTTCTAGCTCAGAAGATGCTAGAGATTAAAGCAGGGTCACCTGGTTCCCAGGATGAAGGAAGCTTTAATGAGAAATGTTTACTAGATTATATAACTACCTTTAAACAAGTGCAAGTCGGTCTTCTTTCCTTCTTTCCTTCCTTCCTTCCTTTCTTTCTTTTTTTTTTCTTTCTTTCTTTCAACAGTTCAGCTTTGGAAATTAGGAATAGAGTCAGCACAGATCTGTTAAGAACAGAACAGCAAGGGGCTGGAGAGACTCAATGGTTAAGAGCACCAGCTGCTCCTGCAGAGGACCCAGGTGCAACTCCATACCCAGATGGCTGCTCACAAACATCTATAACTCCAGGGCCAGGGGATCCAATACCGATGCAGTACAAAGACATACATGCAGGCAAAACACCCAGACACATAAAATAAAAATAAATGCTTTAAATAAAAAGAATGGAAAACTGCAAAGTTTTTTTTTCATTGCGTTTTGAAAACCTCTGGTAACCATGACCTTGGAGGAAAATAGCCATGGGTTTCCTAGACAGAGCTAGAGAGCCAAACAGTGGCTACTTTACGGATCAGCATCTACACCTACCTGATCTTGAGGTTCCTGGCTTCAGGATGTGAATTTGCCTCTTGTCAACATTCTAAATGAAGTCAGGCTGTACAATACATTATCATGACAGGAGGCATAGGTCACGTGTCTTATATGGAATCAGACCCTTGATCAGGAGAATATGCTCCAGATCATGTCAAATCAGCCTTGTAGAAAAATCATCACAAAAATTGGAAACCCCGTCTTGTTCTCTGGACTTCCCATGTCAACACAAAGAGACACTTCCAACCCTGAAGGAGACGCCTGTCTCTTCTCATCTGTCCCATCAGTGCCTGCAAGTGTGTCACCACCCTCAGCAATGTCACAGCTCCCTTGTCATTCTTGTGGGAGTGCAGCATTGACATGGTCAGAGGGACGACCACTTTCCCAATCCCATGTGTTGGTTTCCTCCCTCCTTTTTTCCTTTGTCCTTCAGTGCTGGGGAACTGAACCCAGGGCCTTGGGCACTCTAGTCAAGTGTTCTGCCACTAGGCTGTGTCCCCAACACTTACATGTAACTCCCTGTTAGAGATCTTAGCTAATGGCCAAGATGTTCACAGGTTAAGAATGTGTGCAGGTCATTTAACACACAACACTTTGAAGTTCAACTTATGGCAATTCTTAAACAAAACAAAACAAAAAACCACCTTTGGTTTTTGTTACACTTACATTACTTTGAGTAAACCACAAAAATGCATATGTGGAGGCTGGAGAGGTGACTCAGTGGTGAAAAGCACTGGCTGGTCTTCTAGAGGACCTGGGTTCAATTCCCAGCAAACACATGAAAACTCACAACTGTGAAAATTCAGTCCCAGGAGTCCCAAAACCCTTTTCCAGCTTTCATCAGGCACACATATGTGCACAGACATGCATGCAGGAAAAACATGCATATGTAACAAGTGCATTTGGACAAGTCTGAATTCAGCTTTATTCTCTCAAAGGCAAGTGCATCTGAGGGAAATTTACTCATGGCCTAATATAAAGTCTTGTTTATGCTCTCAGGGTCTTGACCAAGTGTCTTTTCCTTTGTAAAGTTTTTTTGTATTCTGAAGGTGACTAGCCACATGCCATACACCATTCGTCAGGGAGGTGAACTCATGGCAGTAGATGGGAGAAGACCAGTTTTAGTGACTTTGCTCATTGCTAAATACTTAACAAAAGCAAGTCAGAGAGAAAAGGATTGATTTTGACTCAGCCTGGGGAGATGTGCTCTTCACAGCAGGAACGCTTCATGACCAGATGGAAGGCTGCTTGTTCACATCCTGATAAGGCAGTAGGCAGAGAAACGGGAATGCCTTCACTCAACAGGCTCCTTTCCGCTTTGTGTCTGAGACCGCAGCCCATGAGAGGTTGCCACCCAAACCCAGGGCAGGTCCTTCTCCCTTTAGATGACCCTCTGAAAAGCCCTCAGACACACCCAAGCTGATGTTTGAAGTTGCCCAGTGTGAATGAAGCACTGAAAGGAAGAAAATGCTGCAGCCAGGGGAGGTGATTGGTTGGTTTACTTATGTATGTGTGTGTTAGGGGTGGTGAGAGCATTCTGATGCACGTGCTGAGGTCAACCAGGTCAGTCCTGGGGACAGAATTTAGGTCATCAGGCTAGGTGCCCAGCATCTCTGCTCCGAGCCATCTCTCCAGCCTGGGGTGGTCTTTAAATGCTCATTTTATTTCTTGCTCAGACATTTGAGATGGAGACACCTAGACTCTCTCTGGTTGTGTGGTTTCAGGTCTCTGGTGCCCTCAATCCTCAGCTTCTTGGTGCTGCTGTGGTTCAGAGATGCACATTCCATTCGCTACCACCACTGACCAGAAACCTTGGGACATAACATACTTCACACATGCAGCCTTGCCAGTCTCACGACACTAGACAAAGTGTTTTTCAGTTGTTTTATTGGCGGCAGAGGAGTGTTCATAGTCACAGATCTGAAGAACCTGCCAACAATGAAGAATTTATCTATTGCCAGCAAAATACAACCACCTTGGGTCCTTAACACAAACATAGAGTGCTTCACATGAGATGGCTGTGATACAACAAAGCCACCTTCGAGCGCTTAATTGAGTTTCTACAAACCCTTCAAAGAATGAGTTTCTACAAACCCTTCAAAGAATGAGGTAATTTCCTTACCCAGCATCCTCCACATCACCATCTTTACACTGCATCCCTTTAAATTCTGTCAAGACCTTCTAACCACCTTCCCTGACAGCTGAGCCTTGTTCACAGTGTTTCTGTCTGCTTAAAAAAAGAAGCTGGGCCTTGCAGTGATGTGGTTAACCAATATTGATACAGGAGGGCTGGCTGAGACACTATTGTTCAGCTGACTCTGTTCCCACTCATAATCTCTGGTGTCAAAACTCACTGTACATATTTGCTCTCAGCCACTAAATTACCGGGCATGGTGGCAAAGGGGCACAGACCCTAGGCCTGTGTAGCTCAGGCCTCCCCTGTAGAGCTGCAGCTGCCCAAACATGCTGTGGGAGCATTCCCCTCTGGACGTCAGCAGAGAAAGATCTACAGCTATGCAGATTTGTACACACTGGCTAGTTGGATCTTGAGACAGTCTTGCTATGCTTCTATGACTGAAGATTAAATTCCCAGCTTCCTGCCTCAGCCTTCTTAGTGTCTGGAGCTTATTAATTACATCACAAAGAGGATATCACCCTGTAGTCCAGGCTAAACTGGAACTCAAGTCTGTAGCTCAGGCTGACCTAGAACTCACAGAAATCCTCCTGCCTCGTCTGCCCAGGTCTTTTTGAGACCTGATTTTAATCTACAGAGAACTGAAAGAACTCTGCATTCCTGGGAAAGGAACCAGAGCCATGGGGACTGAAGAGCTATGTCCATCCTTTCCCCAACCCTGAGGATGACTTCCAGGCCCTCATGAAAGCAGCCAGAGGGAACAGCAGCATGGTGCCCTATCTTATTATTTTCACCAAGGAGTGAGAGTAGAGGGTCCAGGGCTTCGAACGGAGGAAGAGCCACAGTCTGGTCGTCACTGGTTATTTGGGTTAGGGCTTCTGAACCTGAGAACGCAATCACTCAAGACCAGACACCACAAAGCTCACACACTGTCGTGCTTACCCAACTGGACGTTAGTAAAGGGTTTCCACACAACGGGACCCCCAGGTTACAACCACAAAGCTTAGCCTGAGCACCTGAAGGGACGAGCTGCTGCAGTGGCCCGATGACACTGACTGTACTTGGCATGGGCCTGGCAGAATAAGGAGGCTTCTGTGAACAGCATGAAAATAGTTTGCACCCCAGATAGCCCATCCCTTTTCTCCTAACCGCCATTTGTCCTTCCCTTGTTTTCATTCAGTGACTGCTACCTTGTGTCATCACCACGTGACAGTGGTCTGCAGACATGTCTGTCAGTGCGATACTTTACTCTCTCCCACTCACTGGCTTCCATTAACTCTCAGGATCTTGGTGCAAGACTTAACTGAACATTGTACCACTGAGGTCTCAAAGCTCCCACATCGGGTCCATCGTGAAAAGGACACCTTCAGGTGGATGGTCTGAAATCTCAAAACACACACCCAGTAGGTTCTAAAGCACACTTTGGTTTCCATGGCTGAATTTCATGCTTTCCTTATTATTCCCCGCCCCCCAAAAAAGCTGGGTCTCCCTATGCAGCCCTGACTATCCCAAATCTCATTCTGTAGACCAGACTGGCTTCAAATTCAGAGATCCACCTGTGTCTACCTCCTGAGTGCTGAAATTAAAGGCATATGCCACTACACCTGTCCTAAATTTCATGTTTTTGTCACTTATTAAAGTAAGTACGGCCCCATGGAGTTATAACCCACAAACACTACTATGGTCTTCCTAAATTTCATGACCAACCTCTCCAAATTAAACAGCTCAGAAGTCTTTTACTATGGAATGTGGCAGGGTCCTGTGCTGTTCTTCCCTTTGGGGGAGTGGGCCAAGTAGGCCCAGAGTCAACGACACAGATTCCCAGAGAATGTTGAAACAACAAGCTCAGTTTATTCAGGAAGAGGCAAGCATTATATACCCTCCACCCAACCCTGGGGGAGGAAGTCTGATGAATATGCATCTGCTGGTGTGACATGGCTGCCTCTCATTGGTCCAGGTCATCTCCAGATCATGTCTCAGCTGCTGTTGCTAAGGCCCTTAAGCAGACCCAGGTTGGCTCTCAGAAAGTATCATTGTTACTGGTTTGGGCCAGCTGGCCCTCTAGCCTGTTATGGATGAGTCATCCCACAATGGAACACACCCTAAGGGTCCAAGGTTCTTGATTCTACCCAGGCTTTTCAACAATAATTTAAAAAGGAATAAAATTAACTTTGTAATATTTTAAATGGCCTTTGTTTGTTTGTTTGTTTTTAATGTGTATCCCAGGCTGGCCTCAGACTCTTCTCCTGCCTCCACTTCCTTCAGCAAATCCTATTGGCATGTGCCACCAGAACCGGTGGCTTTTGTTTCTGTATTCAAATCCTCAAACTGAAAGTGAGCCTGGTGCCTCTCAACTGAGGCAGGAAAACTGAAAATCTAAGGCCGGCCTAGGTTACAGAGTCTGCAAATTTGGGCATCAAAAGTGAGATGATGTAACCAAACAATAAAAAGTAAAGAGGGAGACGCAGCTCAGTAGTAAAGTTCTTGTCTAGTGTTCAGCCCCCAGCACTAAAGAAAACAGGGACCTTCAACTGAAAATCACATTTCTGTGAGAACCCCTCAAGTGGCTGACCTGTTCCCTCTGAGCTGTCGTTTCCACAGCTTTCCCCACTGAAGATAACACAGTCGGAATGTTTCTCTGGGGTCATTTCCTTTGCTTCTTTCACACATAATCCTGCTTTGAGTTTATTGAGATGAGCAAAGATGCAGACACGGACGGTCTGTTAGATGCGCCTGACAACAACACTGCTTCAGAAGAATGAGGTGACAGATAAGAGTGCAGATGACAGGCCAGGCGGTGGCGGCGCACGCCTTTAATCCCAGCACTCGGGAGGCAGAGGCAGGCGGATCTTTGTGAGTTCAAGGCCAGCCTGGGCTACAAAGCGAGATCCAGGAAAGACGCAAAGCTACACAGAGAAACCCTGTCTCGAAAAACCAAAAATAAATAAATAAATAAATAAATAAAAATAAAAGAATGCAGATGGCAGGTGCTCCGGGTGGGAAATGGCGAGCCTGGGGAAATCCAGACACAAGGACAGGAACTCAGTCAGCTCTAACTTCCTGAAGCAGCAGCAGCAAAGATCACACGCAGCAAGACTTCCTCACAAAGAATGAAACCAAACATGTTTTCTTAGAGAGCTGTGCTCTGAGGTCCTTCTGTTGTCTGCTTACCATCACTTTATGTCTAAAGTTAGTTCAGGTTATCAGCCCACACGCCATGAGGTAATGTTTACATGCTACTTACTTTCTGTGTGAACTTCCTATCCTACTGCTGGCTGTGTGAGGTGTACATTGTGGGCATGCAATCAGTGTGCATCCTCATGGCCTCTGTCCAGTAACACATAATACAAAGGAATCTGAAACCCTTTGCTTCTTAGGGGGCATAGATATGTGGACCATAGAAAGCTGAACAAATTCTACCTGCGTCAAAACAAAGTGACAGTTGCTATCACATGTCCCTGAAGTCACTCCCTGGACCCATGGCCTGTAACTGCAGCATTTGCCTGTTCATAAGAAACCCACTCAGCAAGGAAGGGTTCCTTTACCTTATTTGGGTCAGGACACGAAACAGCGAAGTCCTTGGCCTTGATGTGATCCAAGAGTATCTATTGCTCTACATAGCTTAGAAGTTACCATCTAGTGGGAATGAGCAGCTGTTGTCTCCCGAGAGGCTATCGGCCTCGGTCACAGATGTTAATTAAATATGATTTTGAAGAAAGGACGCTGAACTATGTAGAACACAGAGCTAGGGAGGCAAAGAAAAGAACTTCCAGGGGCAGCTTCGTGCTTCAGCTAATTCCCTTAAAGCAAACCCAAAGTGCAGAAGTGACAAGAAGTCTTTCTACCCTTGTGCTCACACCTGTCTCTACGTGCCCAGGAACGCTCCACAGAGGGAAGGCAGCTTGTTGAGATGTGTTATTATCAAGCAACAACTGCTACAATAAGGATTGTATCCCAGAGTGACTGAGGTAGCCTCTCCCCTCTCCACGGAGCTGACACTACATTAACACACAGCTTGTTTAAGATTACTTTATATGTATGTGGGCCGCAGTGTATTATCTGTGCACCTTGTGCATGTAGGTACCCCTACAGGCCAGAAGAGGGCATCAAATCCCCTGGAACTGGAATTAAGCCAGGTGGGTACTGTGAACTGAACCCTGGGTACCTCCAAGAGCAGCAAGTTCTCTTAACCACTGAGCCATCTCCCTAGACCCCACTACAGCTTGTTTCTTTCAGCAGGAAAAAACATGGCTCCCTAACCAAGTTTCTCAGTCACTTCCTCTTCTATTTGTGCCTCTGCAAGCACAGGAGGCCAGAAATCGCCCATTTATGCAGTCCCCCCTGCTTCTCTATGACAGCTCGAAGCACTTCTCAGGACCTGAGGCCTCTTCTTAAGCACCCTTAGTAGAATCCTTGATAAACTGATTCTAATAACCACATTTCCATCAGCAAACCACATTAGCCAAGGCTCCGATTCTCTCTGCCTTTCAAACTCCTGATTTTCACATGTGCTCTGGGGAAAGCTGACAAACCAAGACATGCAAGATAAGCTAACCATCCTCTTAAACTACCAGTTGTGTTTAGTTATGTTTATACCTGCTCACATGGGACTTGCTGAATCTCATTGGATCAACCCAATTAAACAGGAAATAATTGCAGTCAGTTATGCAAATATCAGCAATAATATTAATTTGTTGATTGCACCCAACAGATTAGCCTTACATGTTCCTAATGCTATTCTGTCTTGTGCCTTAACTGATCAATTAGTGTTGGGATTAGTGAGTCTTGTTGAAGGGGTAATTGCCTGTTGACAATGTAACCCTCCTGCTGCATTATGCCCCTGCAATTGAATAGACAGTGCACAAGGAAAAAAGTATTCCAGACATTCCTTTTATGCCTACTTAAGAAGTCATTTCAAAAGTTAATCTCCTGTCCTGTTACTTCAATGGCAGACTGAGCTCTGTATCAGACCTCCAAGTTTTTTTTAAAAACACATGTCCTGCCTTCGGTTTTAACTGATGGGAAGCTCAACAGGTTTTTATGTAAGAGGTCGTAACATATGCTCTCTACCATCACACAGGCCACTGTTAATTTAGAAATGTAAAGTCTAAAGTGGACTCAGGGCAGACAACTCAGCCTGGTCATTCTGCACTTCTTGACCGCTAATACACCTGCGGCTCTCCCAGACAGATACTGAAGCTTAGGTCAAAGGGCGTGGGAAGCCAGAAGCATCTCTGAGGATGCTGCCTCATGAACATGTGCAGGAAAGGTTGGAGAGCAGCTGGACCCCCTCACCCAAGACTTCAGTCACCAAGGGAAAGGCCCACGAAGACGTATTTTTACTATCTCCTTTCACATTCTCCTTCTCCCAGCTTCTTACTGTTTCTGTCTAAAAGACTCAATAGCTAAACATTTTGGAACAGAACCAAAGTGCTATGTATTGTTAAATGTCTCTAAGGAATGTCTCTAATGGATGAAGTTTTTACAATGTCCTCCCCTGGAATGCTAAAGAGACCCAAGTTTCATCAGTAAGATGAAAGCCACTGCGACCAAGAAGCCACAGTACCATGGCTGAGAGCTGACCTTCCAAGGGTGAGTGCTTTCTATCAGGGCATGACTTTCTCCTGGATAAACTGAAAGATGAAAGAATTCTTCACTCACAGTTCCTAAACAAGGAAAACACTCTCTGGAATTATTCTGTTATCCCACCAGATGCTCATTAATGCTCACCTAAGAGAATGGCACAAAATGCAGATTAAGATCAAAATCCAGAGTGTATCTCCCTACCTACCCCTCTATTTGGCATTTAACATTTAATGTACAGCATCTGTAATTTCCATGTGGTTGTTATTTTATCATGAATTCTGTCCAGGGCAATCATTTCAGTTCCAATAATAATAATCTTAAAATATAAGATAATTCTTCCAACTGACCGTGATGTCTTCCATGGACAAGAAAGACAGCTTGAGGTACTACTGCTACTTGTTACCAGAATTAGGCATGGCTCCCAAGAGGGCTTCAGCATGGAGAGATAGAAAGTATACTTCTATGTTCATTTTTATAGTAAACATGTGCTGAATACCTATATTGTGCTGGGCTTTGAGGACACAAAGATCTAGAAGGCATAGGACCCCTAGTCTCATAGCAGCACAGTGAGCAGCCAGTTATAATACTGTATAAAGAGGACAGGGAACAGTGAGTGTGAGCCTCACAGACACCCAGAGACTGGGGCAGACCATAACACCAAGAAGGGACAGACTGCCTTTAGCTTGAACTTAAGGACCTACAAAAGCATGGAGGAAGGAAATCCAGGGGACCAAATTTGTTAAAGAAAAAAAATCAAGGCATGATAGTACACACCTGTCATCCCAGCATTCAGAAGGCTGAGACAGGAGGACTGCCATGAGTCTGAGACCAGCCTGGCCAGACATTAGGGAATACCAGATCAGCCAGACCAGCCAGGGCTACCTAGGGAGTCCAACTCCCAACAACAATAACAACAACAACAACAAAAACTCACAGCAAAAAGCCCTGTCCTGTGTGTTTCTGACACCAATGAACCACAGGGATGCCACCTAGGAAATGTCCTCGGGTCATCCTTCATACAGAGGTCTCATTGGTTGAGGAACCCTACCTTCTACTAAGGAACAGAAATTTGGATCTTGTGCAGGACAAGGGTAGGCATTTATCATCATCTTTCCAGAGATTGCTACAGGAAGCAATTACTACCACATTTACAGGTGACATTTGGCATTGGCAATTTTCTGTGGCTCAAGGAAAAACCTCCACTTGGTAAAACATGAACTCTGCAACTACAATATGCAAAACTACTAACAGGTGGTCACGGTTGAGGGCAGAGGTCCGTCTTCTGTGGCACATCACCAACCCAATGGGGTTTCCATCAGGGTAACACTGTTGTCCAGTCGCTCTCCACCCTTCCGTACTATGACAAAGGCAAAAGCATGTGTTTCAGTCTAAAACAGACACTTGAGCAAACCCTCAGGAACCCGAGCAGCCACAGCTGTACAATGGGCTCATTTACTACAGCAGAGAGAGGGCTTGGCTGTTAAGAGCATATACTGACCTTCCAGGGGACCTGGGTGTCCGCTTACAAATGTCTCTAACTCCAGCTCCATGGGATCTAGTGCCCTCTCTGGCCCTCGTGGGCACCAGCACTTACAAGTGCATGTACCTCCACTTCTACCATCCCCTTCTACACATAAGTAAAAATAAATCTTCTACAAATAAAAAATCTGGTAAATCAAGTGTGTCAACACATACTTGTAATCCCAGCACTTGGGTGATGAATGCAGAAGGATCCACAGGAATCAAGGCTAGCCTGGGCTATATGAGACCCTGTCTCAATCAATCCATAAAATGAAAATAACCTTAGTATGAACCTGTAGCTGCCTTTTCCCATCCTAGGAAACAAGAGCTCATTCCTCACACTGCTTTCCCTGATACATGAGGCCGGGACTCCAGCTACCCCAAGGCAGGTGTCGTGGTGTCAATATCCACTGTGTTAAGAAAACATGAAAGGCGGCTTTGGAAGAAGACTGTGACACTGCAATCAATGTGACATCAGCTGGGTCTCCTTCATTGGCTCTGGTTTGAAGGCTTTTCCCCAGGGTGGTGCTACTGAATGATAGCAGTAGGGTGTAGGGCTTGGTCACTGGGGCTATTCCCTTGAAACGGGCAGTGGATCCAGCTAAAATGCATGGGAACCTGCTACATGCCAATCTCAGAGACCACACCAATGTTGAATCTCTAAAACTGTGAGCCAGACAGGCCTTTTCTTGTTATAAAATTACTAGCCTCAAGAATTTTGTTTTAGTACTATGAAGCCCATCAATGCCACGTTATTCAAGACATTTCTCCTATCTCTTCTTAGAATATGTAAGTACTTAAGAGCAACATATGATTTAGTTTAAAAACAATTTATCTTGGCATCTCATTCCTTCTTTCAATGAAGAAATATTACTGTCCGTATTCTCTACCCTAGACCCTGTGCTAAACCCCAGGAGACATAAGAAAGTAAAAAACTCCGGCATTAAAACAGCCCTAGGAGGGGACAAACACAGGACAATTGTAATGGGACTTCGTGGTCTTAGGTAGCTCAAGAGGTATTTAAAAAGTTCCCACAGGGGTTCAGGTCTAGCCTGGTCTACACAGTAAGACCCTGTCTCAAAAACAAACTGAGTGATAAAAAGTTCCTGCATGGGATGAGCACCGAAGGTCGCCATGACGCTATGAGGCAACCACACTGTCGGGGTTCAGCAGAGACAGGTAGTGTCATGGACCAAAGAACATTTGGAGAAGAGAAACTACCCAAAGAATGGAAGCCGAGATGATTAGGGTGGGCAGAAACACAAGAGCAGACAGTATGGCCAGCGTTGTCCAAGTTTACCTCTGCTTCTGTAAAAAAAACCAGGAGTGCTTTTCCTTGTCGATTAGAAAAAGAAAGAAACGGGGGAAAGAGAAGAAATAAAACAACCTTGTTTGAACTCTCCCCCTGCAGCAGGTATTTCTTGTAACCTAACACCCAGGACCAATGTGGATAACTGGCCCCATGGGACAAGAAATTAGCCTAGCACTTAGAAGTGTAGACTTTAAGTCAGATCTGAGGTTTCAAAGACTTCCCCCTGGGTCATCCTGGCAAGAGACTTGGTTTTTCTTTCTCTTGTTTTTTGTGGCTGTTACTTGTATTCAATTTTGTGGAACACTTTGTAGGGAAACATCATGTTTCCATGTAACACCCAAAGAGATCAAATGTCAAACATGATGTAACATCCTACTCTTTTTTTCTCTCAGTAATTACTAAAATTATTTTTCTTGGAAACAGACAAGCTAGTCGCTTGGCTAACAGAACCAATTTGCCATCTTGTAAGAGAATAATTTGGAGACTTGAGGACACAGCACAAAATAATTGAGGGAAAAAAGATGTGGTTTTGATTAGGAATGGTTGGTGCTTAACAAGCTGGGATATGTAGGGTACTTGTGCTTTGTGACTGACTCTGAGTCACTTCCGAACTCTTGTGCCTGTGCTGATGACCTCTTTGCCTCTGTTCAGTATGGGTTCTGAGTGGACCATTGGGCTTTTTTGTCTGTTTTTAAAGATAGGCTCTCTTGTAGCCTACGCTGGCCTCAAACTTGCAATATATCGGATAGCCATGAAGTTCTGGTCCTCCCACCTCAAACCCCAAAGTGTTCAATTGTAGGCACACACCCAAAACACTGTTGGTTGTATGCAGTTTGACCCAGGGCTTCATGCATGTTAGAAAGCCCGCTACCAGTCAAGGTACATCCCTAGCCCATGCTGGATTCGGTGCTTCCATCTCTAAAGAGCATAAAGTGGAGAGGGAAAAGTTCTGTTTTTCTCAAATGTTCTACCATGTGTATCTCTTACTATCTTTTTCTTTTCCCATTGTGTGTGTGTTATTCATGTGTATGCATTTCTATATGTGTAGACACATGTATATGTGGGCACACATGTGCAGATGTGTGGAAAGTCCCAAGGTTGACACTCTTCTACCATATCTCTAGAGGGAGGGTCTCCCAATCAAGCCCAGAGCTCATGGATGGCTCTCTTTCAGAAGCTGGAATTACCAGCTGGGTTGCCATGTCCATCCAGCATTTGCATAGGACTCTGTGCAAATAGGGACCTGCACACAATGAACAGCAAGCATTTCAATCACTGATCCTCTAGGTGCATCTTTTGTATTTCAACTTTCTTTTTTTTTTTTTTTTTTTTTGAGACAGGCCTCATTGTGTATCCCTGGTGGACCTGAACTCCCTACATAGACCAGGTGGGCCTTGAACTCAGAGATTCCCCCTGCCCATACCTCCCAAGTGCTGGGATTAAAGGCGTGTTCCACCTCACCAAACTGCTTATGAATATGAGCCCCAAGGTGAATTTCTTTGTAATATTTTTTTTAATTTTTTGTTGTATCTGAGTGTTTTGCTGCATGTATGTGTGCACATGTGTGGAGTGGAGGCACAGGCACGCAAAAGAGGGTACCAGATCTCCTGGAACCAGGGCTGTGAGCTGACTTGTAGGTTCTGGGAAATGAACCCAGGTCCCCTTCAAGAGCAGTAAATGTTCTTAACCTCTGAGCCATCTCCCAGCTGCCCCCCAACCCCAGCTGGTAAAAATGTCTACCTGGATATCAGTCAACTTTCCCAAGATGCGGCTTGCAAGCTTGGGACCATTCTCCATTGTTGGAATGTGCAGCATCTGCAAAAGAAGGGAGAGAGTGGTCTGAGGGTGTGAAGCACACGCGGGCATGACAGGAAGATGCGCAGCACACCCATGACATGAAGGCAACGCCGCGAGGACCAGAGAGGCACCCCAACATACCTATCACACACACTACCTCCGACAACAGAGTCTTTTCTGCTCAGAATCTGAATAAAAACCAGTCAGCCAATGATAGCGTGTTCATTTCCTACCAACTCAATCAAGGGCACAAAAGGTTGGAATGCCGTTCTTCGGGACAGTGTGAGGAATTCAGGAGACCAGAAGGGGTCCCTGAAACAGTAGAAGAACTCAACACAGGATTCTAAGAATTCATAGGGTGAGTAATCGCCCTCTGTTGAACCCTCTGGCAAGAAATCAGAACTCAAAGATATTTTGCAACAAACGAAAGCAAGTCATTTCAAAGGAATAAGTTAAAGCAAGTCTCATCTCCATTCACAAAAGGGATTTCTGAACCTGGTCTGGGGCAAGTCATACATACCTCCAAGGGCTACAACTCTCATGAGAAGTCAAGGTTAAACCCATAGCTGAAAAAGATTTCGTGCCCTTAGTTTGTATCTGAGCCATGCCCGTTCATGCCTTGCTGGCTGGTTGGCTTTTGATGCTTTGATTTTAATAGATAGCGCATATTCTCAAACACTCTTCTTATTATACCTTTTAGTATAATAGGATAATTGCGGACCCTTTGGGCTCTAAATGCCTCCCAGAACCATTTAGGAGAAGCATTAAAAATAAGTTAACCTTTGTAAACTTTTTATTTGTAGAATGGAGTTAACAATTGGATTTTAGTTACTAAAATGGACCAATAACATACATAGATACTGCCATAAAATACTCAAATTAGCCCCTTACAATCTTTCCTTCCTCTCTCTGCTTTTCTCTATCCCTCTCTGGCACTCATGCCTTCCCTCATGTCTCTCTGCCACATGGACATAAAACCAGGTAGTTCTTCCACAGTGAAATAATCTGTATGTGAAATTGTGTCAGTAGCCATATCTGAAAAGCAAATTCTAAAATGTTAAGCAAAACATAATAGTAATAATAATAATAATAATCCCAATAAGCTGACATTGTAATGTTGAATTCATAAATCAGAGGAACTTACATTTAACGAGTCATCTGAAGCAGTTAGTCTTGTAGGACTAAAAAGCATACACCTACAGAATAATGCCTACACTGTTATAGACTGCCTATACGCCTACAGAATAACATTTACACATTTACAGAATGCCTGTAAAATAATTCTTATCTTTTCACTCTAAAGATAGAGGCTGACCAGATGTGCATGAGGATTGGATTTTGCTATAATAGGGAAAGCCCTCCAACTAGCAAGATAATGCATTTATGGTACAAGTAAAATTGGATAAATGGGGGCTGGAGAGATGGCTCAGTGGTTAAGAGCACTGGCTGCTCTTCCAGAGGACCCAGGTTTGATTCCCAGCACCCACACAGTGGTTTATAACCACCTATAACAGCAGTTTCAGGGAATCCAACACCCTTTTCTGGCCTCCACAGGCACTGTATGCACATGGTACACATGCAGACAAAAGACCCATACACAAATAAAAGAAACAAATCTGTTTTTTAAAATTAGACAAATGCAGTAAAGAGGTAAGGATTATTTCCTTACAACTAAATCCTCGAGCTGCTTTGGAAGATCTGAGTGAGCACAGTGCACACCACTCAAAATGTCTGCACAGTGGTCTGCGCAACGCTGACAACGGGAATCGAGGCAGATGAAAGAACGGACAGTCAGTTCTCATGCGCACTTTGTACCTACTGCCCCTCTGCTCCAACTGCAGCAGCTTGGAAGAACCGGCAGAAACCAGAACACTGAGACCCAGCTACGTGCTCTGCAGCCTACCTCGGCAGGCGAGCAGAAGGAGGTGAAGAGCTCCACAGTTGCCAAGGACAAGGCTGCCTCGATCTCATGTCTGAGCTCTCACTGAATCTCCAGAAAGACCCAAGTGCTGCGCCAGCTCAGGCCCAGCCAGCTCACATTCCCCTTGCACACTCTATGACTCCATTAAGTTACAGGTAAACGTCTACATTTTGTAAAATTCCATTCATTCGTTTACTTATTGTGAGCATCAGGTAGTGAGGATGCCGTCAAGCGCATGAGGAGGTCAGAGGGAAGCTAAGCTGCGAGAGTCAGTTTCTCTCCTTCCGTTATGTGGGTCCCAGGGACCAAAACTCAAGTTTTCAGCCTGGATGACAAGCGTCTTCACCACTGTGCCATCTCACCGACCCCAGGGCACAAACTAACTTTAGAAATGACTGACACAGAACTATTTGTCTTACCTGGCCCTTGTAGAGAATGTCTGAAACCGGGCAGACGACGCAGGCCGTCCCTGAGCCAAACATCTCCTTCACTCTGTTCCCCTCCAGGGCAGCGGTCAGGTCATCCATGGTGAGGTATCTCTCACACACCTTAAACTCACCCTGTTTGGAGTATTAAAAATGAAAAAAGAAGAGAAAAAGAAAGTCAGTGCTTGTCTTTGGATCTGGCTGAACTTGATGATGTCATAATGGTCCTCTGGGAGAAGCAGAAAAGGGCACACTGTGTGATTGCCCTAGCATGTTGAGTAGGAAAGGACACAATGTGTGATTACCCAATGTATTGAGCAACCTACTTCCAAATGACTGACAGCTTTCACAAATGAAGTCATCAAGATGTTCACCTGGGTTCATGGCACATTTTCACACATGCCTGTGTCAAGACTTACAGTTGTCATGGATAAGGTCTCATACACTAACTCATTCTAAGTGCTATTTACTACATTTTCCACATCTTTTATGATTAAGGAGAACAACTGACTGCATCATATATCAGTACAAGGACAGCTGCCATTTACCAGGTATCCACCACATGCCAAGGTCTTTAATGCATCATCCTCTCTACTTTACAGTTGAGGGCACTTGGTTTCCAGAACTTCCTTCAGACCAGACCAGTCAGCTAGTAAACAGTGAACCCTAGATTTGAACTAAGCCTTATCTGGTTGCCTTCAAAACTGGTAAAAATCATAAACTTAGTTCATACGGCTGAAGCAGTCACTATTGTTAGGAGCCAATATTTTGACTTTATGAGAAATTAAACCAAGGGGTGTTGTGATTTGGTTCAAAATTAAATAAATTACTAAACAATTTGTGTTCCAGAAAATCAGCAAACATTACTGAAAACAGTTAAGGTCTGTGTTCTAGAGAGAAAAAAAACAAAAACAAACAAGCAAACAAACAAAAACCAGTATAAACCCATCTTGCAAATGAACAGAATCGTGTTTGCTCAGCTCATCCTTATCTCTGGACTAGTTCCCCTGTCTGGAAGTTGTGGTGCCTCCGAGTGCCTCTTGGCATTTTGTCTGTTTCAACATAGCTTTAAAATGAATTGCAGTTAAGGAGTCAAGAAAAACCCCTCCATAATAACCTGTTTTCCAAGCTCAGGAACCGGAGGTGCGGGACACTCAGGCTCACACCTTGTCACCGGGCCTTCTATACTCGGTCCATTTGTTCTCTTAGTAAAACAGAAATTACTGAGCTTCAGAAAGCCATCTTTCCAAGGGCAGACATAGTTGGGACAGGGCAAGCTGTCTGAAATTAAACCAACAGTTTGCAAATGTCATGCCCAATGTGCCAGCCAACTGGCAGCAGTTGAGTCTTGTCTACTCTGGACATGGTAGGATTATTTAGCTACTTTCAGTCTTTTCCAGGGAAACTGCTGGTCCACTCTGAGATAATGCGTGTGTGTCTAAACATCTGTCCACTAGGACTGTCTGGCCACAGTGTGCTCGAAGCCTTTTCATGGTCTCTGGGGATCTTTAGAACACATGGGTCACAAGGACCAGCCAAGGAGCCATGCTAGTCAGCTAGCCAACTCCCTCCCACATCTACCTTACAAACACTGTCACTTCAAATAACAAATGTCTTACTACTCATGCCTCTCTGGCATGGATTTGAAAGTTTACTGAAAACAATTTTTTTTTTGCTTTGAGTGTTTTCAATTTTAAAATAAGCATGTGTAGAAATCTAAGACAACGGGGGGGGGGCAGTAGAGAGAGAAAGACAGAAAAATCAACATTATGCTGATATTAATATGTCAATGAAAATCTGTAGCTCCTCTAATGGTCGTGGGCACACTGGAATAAATACAGAACATGTCACCAATGCAATGAGGAATAGTTTACAGTTGAAGTTAAGGGCTGGGTGGCAACACCCAGTGCAGACCAGGTAAGCAGTAGTAGAAGACACCCCGTAAACAGACTGAGGTTAGTTAGAAGCCCTCCTCACTAAGACAGCCTGTTCAGCTAGTTCTCTGTGTACTCTGCTAAAAAGAATATTTACTGGCTGGTTTTGCCAACACAGACCTTCTAGAGAGATCTTTTGCACAAGGTAAGATTTGAAGATTAGATAACATTGGTGGGAACCACAGGATATGATATCATTGCAAGGGGGGGGCATTTTTCATGATTCTTTGTGTTGGGCTCATGGGAGTTGTTCGGATCAAGGGCACTCACCCACTGTTGTGCCAACTCCATGATGCTCTGCCTCGTCACACCTGGGAGAATGATGCCATCTAGCGGAGGTGTCGCCAGCTCTTCCTCTGTTAATTAGAAACAGGAATGTTTACAAAATTTCGCTCATTAGACATATCACAGCAGTAGCCATTTTTAAAGCCATTTCTGATAATTTGACAAATAATAAGCATGCAGATAATTAATTCCACTGCCCTGCATCATTAGGTTTCTCAAATCTCTACTCGCTTCTCACAAGAAGACACAAGAGAGACAGCCCAGTGGGTGAGAACAGGTAAGGACCTGAGTTCTGTTCCTAGTACCCACCTAAGAGGCTTACAACTGCCTGCAACTCAGCTCCAAGGGATCTAGTCCTCTTTCAGAATCCTTGGGCACTGCACTGGTGTGCACATTTCTCCACACAGATGCACACACACACACACACACACACACACACACACACACACACACATAATTAAGAATAAAACAAATTTTCTTAAATAAGCAAAAACAAAAAAGGACCAGCAAGATGGCTCAGTGGATAAAGGCATTGGGTCCCAAGTCTGTGCCCCTGAGTTCAACCCTCTGGAAACCCCATGGTAGAAGGAGAGAACTGATTCCCACAAGTGGTCCTCTGTTGTCTTAGGGCTCTCCCAGGCTCCTGAATACAGTTAAGAACTTTAGAACTAACCCATTTCAATCCTTACTCTACAGGAGTAACAAATGTGCATTTTCCCAGGCTAGTGACAGTGAGAAAAAGCTATGATCACACACCAATGTCCTAGCTCTGGGACCACTACTCTCTGTCTCGAGGTGGGGTGGATCTAGGCTCTTCAGCTCCATAATGGTTTACCAGAATAGAGATCTGCCCATCTCTGTATGCCCCAGTCCCTGCATCATGTCTGGCCTAGCATTGATGATGAGGTTTTTTGTTTTGTTTTTATGTGTATGGGTGTTTCACCTACCTGTATGTATGTGCACCACATGCATGCAATACCCACAGAGGTCAGAAGAGGGGACCAGATCCCCCAGAACTGGAGTTACAGGTTATGAGCTACCACTTAAGTGCTGGGAACTGAACCTGAACCCTTTGGAAGAGCATTACTCTGAACTACTGGGGCATGCCCCAATCCCCTATAATAAGTATTTTTTTTTATATTTTACTAAATGAATGAATGAACTATCTTTGCTAGGCTACAGCAGTTTGATTTAGAGAGATTATTTATTTTCTGAAAATTGCTTTTTAGAAAGAAGAAATTGGTTCTGGAAATGTTCCCGAGGCTACTTGTCATTTTAGAAGTGTTAATCTCAAAATAAATATGTTTTGTGATAGCTCCTTAGCTAGACACAGAAATGCATGTGTGTGTGTGTGTGTGTGTGTGTGTGTGTGTGTGTGTGTGTGTGTGTGTATGTGTGCAGTTTTCACACGTGCATAGACCTTTCCTACAGTTAGCTCAACTCTAAGACAATACTGAGTTAAACACAAACAGCAGCCTTCACGTGTACAAAGGCTGTTGTGTGAAATGAATTTAGCATCCAACTGTAACCACCAGCCTGAGGTCAAGAGGCAGAACATCTGTTCCCCCGTTTCCCAGACAGGGTGAGGACATGAGGACATTTGGGTGAGAAGTAGTCATTTTCCTCTGCAAACACAGACACACTCCCAGGAGCCAGCTGAGAGGGAAACACGGCCTGCTGCTCAGCAGAGGCTGGGGGTTGGTTACTGCCCTAAGTTCTATGACCCGTTGTTTTCTCCCCCTCCTCACCCTCCAAGGAGAGCTACACGAGGATTGTGTTAGACAGTGTTAGATTGTGGCTAGGACAGAGAAGAGGACTGAAGAGGCCCAAGGGAGAGGACTTTTTATTTCTTCTTATTGTATACGTGTGTGGGAGTGCCTGTGGGTCTCCTGGAGCTAGAATTACAGGCAGCTGCCAGACATAGGTGCTGGGAATCCAATTCGGGTCCTCTGGAAGCAGAGCACTTGTCCCTGGCCCACTCACTCCCACCCCCTTTTGCCTAGTGATGGATACCCCAATGGAAGGAGCACACTGAGACTAAAACCAGCTTGGGCAAGTCATAAAATCTAACTCTTATTAAGGACTCGTGTATTTTGCAAGAGGCAGTAGACAAATCACTCATTCCCACTCTGATCTTTACTCACAGCCATGCAGAAATGCTGTGACTTCTCAGGAACAATTAGTCACCAGGACAACTTCTGGAGCTATGATGCAGGTGGCGGTTAAGTCCTTGACATCTCCCATAAATAATGACACTGCCTTTTCTGAATGATGTCCCTGTTTGTGCTTGTGGTGGTTTGTGGTGCTGGGTGGGTGGGAACAGGGAGAGGAGTGGGCAGGGAGGAAGACATCTCCTGAGCACAGGACAGCAACGTCAGCCACCTCTCTAGCATCACTTCACGTATATGTTTATGAGAAGTCCCAGTTTGAAATCCCTCAAATTCCAGCATAAATTTTGTTTCCTTACATTTCCAAGTGCAAACAGCAGGAGTAGAAATATGTCTGGTGTGTCTGGCTGAATCATATGCCCAGGCCAGAGGAGACAGCCTGGCAGAGGCGCCCAGGGCCAACTCACCCTTGATGGAGTGTAAGGCTCGCCTTGTACCAAACCGGAACACAGTGCTACATTCAGCCTCATCTGAATCATCTCTTCCCCTTTTAGCAAAACACAGCACATGTGAAGAGGCCACCACTAAGCAACAAGCTCCTTTTAAATACGGTCACTGAAGCCGAGACTTGGAGTTTGTACCTAGAAGTATCATTTAATTCTCTGTGTGTGTGTGTGTGTGTGTGTGTGTGTGTGAGCATGTGTGTGCATGTGGGTGTGTGCATACATGCAGAAACCAGAGGACAACAGTGAGTCTCTTCCTCTATTGCTCTCTGCCTTATTTTTGAGTCAGGGTCAATCTGACTGTCTCCACCTCCTAATGCTGGTGTTGGAAACATGAACGGCCAGCCACACCCTGACTTCATTTCACATTTTCAGTGTCTATAAAAAATCGGAAAAACATAAACAGGTCTAAAAATGTGCTCCTACATCTCACAATCAATATCCTAATGGTCAGTGCAGGCTGACTTTGTCCCTCGCTTTGGATCATTTAGCTCAATACCGTATAAACTGTCAACACTTCACTGAGCTCGCATCAAAGCCTGACACTGAAGCATTCAGGATGCTAGACACAGCCCTGAATTTCAAGCCACATATATTGGCACATACTTATAACAACAGCATTCCACAGCTTGAGGCAGGAGGATTCCTCTAAGTTTGAAGTTGGCAGAGACTATAGGATGGGGTCCTACCTCAAAACAACAACAAAAGCCAGGTGTGGTGATATTTTATTTGTGTTTGATAAATAAAGCTTGCCTGGAGATCAGGGGGAAAAGGCTAGTCATTTTAAGTAAACAAAGTCAGGCAGCACATGCCCTTAATCTGATCACTTGGCAGGCAGGGTCTCTCTCTCTCTCTGTGTTCAAGGCCATACTAGGGAATAGAGTCAAGCATGGTAACACATGCCTTTAATCCCAGTACCAACCATAGAGACCTGGAGGTCTGTACAGACAGACAATGACAAGAAGTGAGGTAGCTAGGCTAAGAGCCAATGAGAGGGCAGAAAAGCAAGGCATATAAAGGCATGGGTAGACAGGAAGTAGCTCGCGTTTGGAAGCTGCAGAGTTGGTGAGGTAAGGTTGGCTGGTGGCTATTCCTATTTCCCTGATCTCTAAGGCTTTCACCCCTATATTTGGCTCCGTGTTTTTTATTTAACAAAACCATTTAGAAATTCATCTACAATCAGGTGTGCTATAATCCCCCACACTCAAGAAGAGAATGGAGGATCAGAAGTTCAAAGCCAGCCTTGGCTGCATAGTGAGTTCAAGGTTATCCTGGGCTGTATACACAGGACCTTGTCTTAAGAAAATAAAAGAACAGAATGTCTGTGATTTACATATAGTGGCCAAGAGTCAACAAACACGGATCTACTGGCAACCTCAGGATATACCCTGGGTTATATTTAAAAGTGCAGCTTATTTTGTGTAGGAATATTCGGATACATGCATGCCAGGGCATTCAGGTGGAGGTGCAAGGACAACTTTTGGGGATGGGTTCTCTCTTTCCACCTTGTGGGTGGCAAGTGTTGAACTCAGGTCATCAGGCTTGGCAGCAAGCACTCCCAACCTCTGGGCCTCCTTGCACCCTAAGAGTCTAGGTCAATCAAACAGAATGCAAAGAAAACCTGCAGGGCTTCTGAAATGTTATCAAAATGTGTAGAAAGGACACCAATTCTGAAGAGAATTCTAGTGAGAGAGAGGTGTGGAGCAGTGGTGGAGTCCTGGCAACAGGAAGAAGGGTCCTGGCTTATGTCTTCAGCACCACAAGGTCAAACAGAAGTCAAAGGGCCATCGAAGTCAAGTCTAGTAGAGCTCCGACAAAATGGCAACCTCAAGGTCAGTGTGGGCTGCACAGTAAGTTAAAGCTAGCCCAGGCAACTATAGAGAGCCTCAAAATAAACAGTAAAATGGGGGCCACAAGTGTAGTTCTAGAGAAAGCTTGCCTAGCATGTAGGAGTTCAATTCCAAGTTCTGAAAAATAAGGAGACGAGCACTAATTGCCCCCATAGTCAACAGACGGTTTACTAGTACATACTACGTGGTACAGATTGAACTACTACTGAACTAACCAAGACTCATCACTGAAGACTGTTGTGACACTAGGAGACAGCAAAGGGGAGGAAAAACGACCTGTTTTTAAGAAAAAAAATGTATTTTATGTACATGGGTATTTGGTCTGTATGTCTTTACATTACACACGTGCAGTGCCCACAGAGGGCAGAAGACTGCATTGGATCTCCGGAAACTAGAGTAACAGACAGCTGTGATCTACCACGTGCTTGCTCAGAACCCAGGTCCTCTGCAAGAGCAGCCACTGCTCTAGTCTGCTGAGCCGTCTCTCCAGCAGAAACAAGACTACAGAACCTTGTGTGATGCAGGCTCCACAGCAGCCTCTGGACCCCAGCCCCTGCACCCCTGCCACCAACGGTCAGGTCCCCAGAAGAGCAATTACCTCCATCTTCATTTATCCAGTAGAGGAACAGATTCATCGTGCCCACTTCGGTGATCTGTCCATCCTCGCCATAGAGCCAGAGGACCTGCTGACAGCCGTTCTCTGATGCCTCGCACTGCGCCAAAAGGGACGCACCGTAATTGCTAGTGAGGAAAAGAAAGCCTGCTGACTTACACACGTGTCGCCCTGTGCCCACAATCCACTCTAACGAGCGCATTATTATTCATTCATCTGATGGTGTGTGTGTGTGTGTGTGTGTGTGTGGATGCACCCATGTGCATGTATGGAGCTAGAGAACAAATCATCAGTCAGTCCTTTAACTAAGTGAGCTGCTGTGCCCACCTTCAAGGCTTAATCAGACACACACACCCACATATAGACGCAGACACACACATCCATACACCCATACATAGACACACTCACACATCCATACACCCACATATAGATACACACACATCCGTAAACCCACACATAGACACACACACATATACTCATACATATACCAATACATCCACACACAGACACACACACATACACTCACACATAAACACATACATACACCCATACATGTAGTGGGTAGCCATTCCAGCTTTGATCTGGAAGTTCCAATCCCCATTGAGACTTTGGCAACTGTCACGCCTACAAGGCGGGGCCAAAGGAGGCGCCTGGAGACCTGAGATCTGGATGGGCTGTGCTCTGACTCGGTTCCGGGACCTTGGACGGTGAAGGTGGGCCAAGCAGAGCTCCAGAGAGCACCGCTGGACTGCGATACCCAGACCCCGCGACCTACCTATCCCTTAACTTGTAAATTACACCATTAAATAAATCTCCTTTTAACTACATGGAGTGGCCTTAATAATTTCACCAACATCTGGTGCCCAACGTTCGTGGTACGAATTCTCGAAAAAACTACTTGCCTGTGGGTCTTGTGGGCCCCAGCTCAGGCCCGAGCTACACTCGGCCGGTTGTGGTGGTGCACGCCAGTTGGATTTGCTGAAGGAGGCAGAGGCAGGAGGATCCCGAGTTTGAGGCCGGCCTAGGAGGCTTGCTAAGGAGAAGCTTCAGCCGGGGCCGAGTCACAAACAGTGGTGGGACCATGGAAGCAGTGGCTACTGCTCCACGTTGCCAGCTCCTTCTCATCGTGTTGGTGACTGCAGTGATGCTGCTACCTGGGACGAAGGGTTTACTGCTGCTTGTTCAGAGAAGAATCGCCAGGACCATCATGTTACAAGAAAGCATCGGCAAAGGTCAGTTTGGAAAAGTTTGGAAAGACAAATGGTGGGGAGAAATTGCTGTGAAGATTTTCTCTTCTAGGGAAGAGTGTTCATGGTTTCGAGAGACAGACATTTATCAGACTGTGATTGCTCCAAACCATAGAGGAGGCACAAAAAAAAAGTCTTCAGGGAACCATGACCACGCGTAACAGCGACTTTAAAATCTTCAAAAGGATGAAGAGACCCCACAAAGATGATTCCACATGGACTATATATGATAAAGCCATTAAACCGATTAACACCATGGAAAAATCGACTTTGGACTACAAACTGGTTAGGACAATTTCGAGATGACTAGCTGAGATGATCCAGCCTGACAGACTACTCGAGCAAGGACTTATGACAAGCCCTGAACTTTCCTTTTATGCAGAGACTGGACAAATGATACAGGACTTGACAATTAACCCAAAATTTTTCTTTTCAAGATTCCCTAAAGATATCTTCACCTCTAGAAAGCAAAAAGAAAAAGAGAATAAGATATGAGATAGATCACTGAATCTACTCTGAGAAAAAAAGATAAAGAAATAATAGGATAAATAGATCACTGAATCTACACTGAAGAAAAAGGGGAAGATATAAAAATGACAAAAGGTAGACTACTGAATGTATTATGAAAAGAAAAAAGAGAATATGGATATGATAAGATAAAAAGGGAGATTATGGAATCTACTTTTAAAAAGGAACTACTTGTTTTAAATAAGGTAAGTAATGAAAAAATTTTGGTCTGAGTTTATCAGATGTTAGTGGACTGGACATTGTCAATATATATAATGGAGTTTTTATCTGAATCTGTCAAATGTTAATGGACTAGACATCATTAATGTGATTTTTGACAGTATATATTGTATCTACTTATTAGTTTTTCTTGTATTAGTTATAAGCTTTTTTTAATTTTAGACAAAAAGAGAGGAAATGTGGTGGTATTGTGTTCCCCAAAATATTGTGCACCTTAATAAACTTATCTGGGGTCAGAGAACAGACAGCCACTAGATACAGAGGCTAGAAAATGTTAGTACACACCTTTAATCCTAGCATTCCAGAGATAGAAATCCCTCTGGATCTCTGTGAGTTCAAGGCCACATTGGAAACAGCCAGGCATGGTGACTCACGCCTTTAATCCTAGAAAGCAGTCTTTAATCCCAGGGAGTGGTGGTAGAAAGCAGAAAGGTTTATAAGGCGTGAGGACCAGAAACTAGAGGCATTTAGCTGGTTAGGCATTGGGCTGGTTAAGCTTTCAGGCTTCTAGCCGCACAGTTCAGCTGAGAGCCATTCAGATATGAGGACACAGAAGCTTCCATCTGAGGAAACAAGACCAGCTGAGAAGTTGGCCAGGTGAGGTTAGCTGTGGTTTGTTCTGTCTCTCTGACCTTCCAGTGTTCATCCCAATAACTGGACCTGGGTTTGATTTTATTAATAAGACTCTCTAAGATTCATGCTACACATACACCCTCACACAGACACACACACAGACAGACATGCAAACACTCATGCATGTATGACATTATCACTTTAATACACAACTCTATCTCCAGAACATTAAAGAAAGCCCACCAGAGACTCTAACAGCAAAGAAATCTATGTTCACAGACCTGCCCAGCACCATCACAACTGAGCAGAATCACATGCATGCCCCAGGTGCCAAGGAGAAAACACGGGCCTCCTGATGCTTTCTGGGAAGAGGAAGCTAGAGCCATAGAAGAACGAAGTAGGGCTAGAGGTGTTGATATTTCCCAAAATCAGTTTCTCAAGAAGGCCAGTATGCTGATTTGCAAAGTTTGGCTTTGATGATCACACCTTGGCCCTATGTCTTCTAGCAGCTTTGAATGCTTGGGAATAAGGTTGAAGAATCAGGAAAAAGGACTGAGTCATTTACTAAAATTATACAAGGCCCAAAAGAAGGCTTCACTGAAATTTTGCAAAGATTGAGTCCAGCTGTAAATAAAATGTTATCAGATCCAGAAGTTACACAAATATTAATTGAATTTAGGGCTATTGAAAATTCTAATTCTGAATGCAAAAGGGTGATTAGGCCTTTAAAGACAAGATCAGCACTAATAGATGAGTAGGTTAAAAATACAGCTGATACTGGATCTCATGCTTATGATGTTGCTTTGATAGAAGTAATTTCTAGAAATTTTAAGAAAAATCAAAAGGTCAGGTGTTTTTATTGTAGTAAACAAGGCCATCTAAGGGATTGTAGGCAAAGTTTTCCTAGAAACAATGTTTTTTCTAAAGATAATCTAAACAGAGGCCATAGCCTTCTAGAATACGCAGAAGGTATGGCAAAGTCCGGCATTGGACTAATGAATGCAGATCAACATGGGACAGGCAAGGTAACCCTTTGCCACCTGAAAATACCTCAAGGGGTCTCTCACTATCAAATTTGTTTCAATCATTCCCTGTCAGCATTGGAGAAACTCCTCCACAGAGCAATTAAAAGACTTAATGCCTGTTGTTAAAAAACACACTACTCTGGATGACAGAACAGCTTCACTGTATTAAAAAAAATTCATGAGAGACCATAAAAACAAGAATTTTGGCAAACTTCTATAAATAATCAAAGACCAAAGCACATATACTAAAAATACAAATAAATGCACTGTAATCAAAGGTTTAGTTGACATAGGCACAGATGTAACAATAATTGCACTAAAATCTTGGCATCCAGATTGGCCTCTTCAGGAGGTAAATAGTCAGATTCTAGGGATTGGAACTTTATCTTAGATAAAACAAAGTAGAAGGTGGGTTGAGTGTACAGGGCCAGAAGGACAGAGAGGAAAATTAAAGCCACAGGTAGCTAATACAGCAATGAATTTATGGGCATATGATTTGTTACAGCAATGGAAAACACAGATTAGCATTCCTTCAATCTCAGAAACAAACCATAAAATAAAGAATGCTTCTGAGAGAGATATTAAAAGTATTATCAAAAACAGTCACTAACCCTTCAGGTTTTACATAAACAGGGCTCAACAGCTGCTGATCTTTCAAAGGCACCAACAGCCCTACCGTTAAAGTGATTAACTGACAAGCCTGCCTGGGTATATTTAAAAGACTGCTTTTTCACTATACCTTGATAAGAACAGGATAGAGAAAAGTTGCCTTTATGGTGTCTTCTTATAATAATTCTCTACCTCTTAGAAGACAGAAGATACCAATGGAGGGTCTTGTACAACTGCTAATAGAAATCATAAAGTTTCCTCAATTTATAATTTACCACTGAAAGGATAATATCTTACTAGCTGAGTCAGATGTAGATACCTTAGGAAAAAATGTTTGATGAAAGTAAAGAGAATTTGTTGATGATTACAAATTGCTATTGAAAAAATACAGAGAGAAGATTCTATTAATTACCTAGGATAAAAGATAGTTTTATAAAAAATTCAACCACAGAAAGAATAAATCAGGAGAGGTTAATTATGAACTCTTAATGATTTTCAAAAATTGCTGGGAAATATTAACTGGCTATGGTCCACAATTGGATTAACAACTCAAGAACTAAGTAATTTGTTTCAAGCCTTCAAGGAGATAAAGACTGAAATAGTCCAAGAAAATTATCAGCTGAGGCTGAGAAAGAATTGGCTTTGATAGAAAAGAAATTACAGGAAGGACATGTGGATTATTAGGATCCAGAGCTTGATTGTATTCTGTTTTTTGGTTTTTTGATTGGTTGGTTGGTTGGTTGGTTGGTTGGTTGGTTGGGTTTTTGTTTTTTTGCTTTCTACACATTCTCCTACAGGAACTCTTATACAGAAAGATATTTTTGTCACATAAAGACAGTAAAAAATTAAAGACCTGTATAGAAAAGTTTTCTGAATTGATTCTGAAAGGAAAATTGAGACTTAGTCAATTGACATGAATAGATACAC